TAATGAGACAACATCTTTATTTGTTGATGATGGAGGTGATGGTCTCCTTTACCCACGAGCACCTGTAATGTAAACACAGGTATTAGTATAAACATTAACACCAGGTGAGTGACAGAGGTTGGGTGTAAACGGGACTGCGCAGTATAGGACAATGGGCCCACTGCAGTTTCCTCCATTCTTATGTTCTTAATACAACAACACGGTACTGGAGTGTGTGTGTGGCAAATACTCCAAGCGAAATAGTTGAACTTGTGCCGTTATTTCTTCGTTTAGAATTAGTTATATTGACAGGTGAAATAACATCTTCATATAGACAGATATAAAGGGGGAATGGGATATGTTTTGGTGAAGATTATCAATAAATATTTGTCTACCTGTACAGTTTTAGGGAATTGTTTACACCTGGGAAATATTAAGGTGATCAAGACTCACCTCCGAATATTGCTCCTGAACCTCCGCCGTGATGATCGCTTCCACCACCACCACCACCATGATGACCGCCTCCACCATCACTACCACCACCACCATGATGACCGCCTCCGCCATTATGGTCTTCTCCTCCACCACCGAAGACACCTCCACCACCACTACTACCTCCGCCACCATGATGATCGTGACCTCCTCCACCGTGGTGATGACCTCCGCCTCCAAAGAGACCTGCAGGTGTGGAAAAATTTATCAAACTCACCAACACATCTGCCGCCACAGGTGTCAAAGGCCTCCTAGATGACTCATGTTTCAACCAGGTCTTCAAACAAGGTAACTATCTAAGCTTCCTCTTCATAAAAGATTCAATGATACTTTTATATATTTATTTATTTGTATTGACATATTTGGGTGAAGGAAAAAGATCTGCCATTGCTAACTGAATAATTAGGCATAATTGTCATCCTATACAAAATACAAAGGAATTCCGTATACATAATGTCTGTATAGAAATATTTGTAATAATTCCATATTTCGTGTTAAACTCCTATTTTTTTAATATTACAATAAACAGTGTATACTCTGCCTATCACCTACACTACACTACGCTACACTACACTACACTACTGTACACTACACTACACTACGCTACACTACACTACACTACACTTCACTACACTACACTACACTACTGTACACTACACTACACTACACTACACTACTGCACTACACTACACTACACTACACTACACTACACTACACTACACTACACTACACTACACTACACTACACTACACTACACTACACTTCACTACACTACACTACACTACTGTACACTACACTACACTACACTACACTACACTACACTACACTACACTACACTACACTACACTACACTACACTACACTACACTACACTACTCTACACTACACTACGCTACACTACACTACACTACACTACACTACACTACACTACACTACACTACTCTTTAGGCTCATAAACTTTTTAATTTTATCTTCTCTTTACTATCTCCCTTCATATCCTCCCTTACTCATCATCTACCGTCCATACATCTCCAGCTGCTCTACTCACCGCCTGGAAGACGGTCGCCGGTCACGGAGACCAGGAGGACGGCCGAGGCCAGGAGACCGATGATGAAAGGTTTCTGTGGAGAATAACAAGTAAGAGAACGTCAACACTGGCAGGAGCTACACTTACACTGTCATAACTTGTTGACACTTTATACTAAACAACGTCACGGGAGGAAAAATGATTTAGAGAAATAGTCTCTTCAAAACCTATATTTAACATTTAATAAATTTGATCTTAATTCTGAGTTAAAATTGTGTGATTAGGTTATATTAATTGTCGTAAACTCACTTAAAAAGAATAAATACAAACAAAGAATAGAACTAAATGTTAGGCTATATTATTTCATCAGTAATAAACTAGTAAATTTTCACCAATATAAAGTTCAGGCGAAATATATAACACAATTCATTACTCAAGTTAACACCGGCAACTCACCATGACTGCCGGACTGATGTTGCGTCTCCGCTAAGGTGCCGCGATGACTACTGATGCTGGTACCGCTGGCCGCCGGTATATATACTGCCAACTGAGCCACGACGTCAGCGCAACAGTAAACAGTCTTAAGGTTAATGGGGAGGGTGAGACTGACGGAAGGGTGGAGGGGGGATGTAAGCATAGGGGGTGTGGAGGAGGTGAGAGATGTAGACACTGGGAGGGAGGAGAGGTGTGGAGGGAGACCGAAATTGACCTTGAGGTATACCACGAACTGCATACCACATGATAACACTCGGACGGAAGAAGACGTAATGGAGAAGGAATCAATGACGGAGAGAAGTAAAACTGTAAAAGAGAGAGAAGAGAAGAGGGAAAATAAATAAAGCAGCGATTGAAAAGCCCCACAAAGGAAGAGAAAATAGAAAATAACAGAAGTAAAAGAATAAGGAGAGTGGAAAAGATGAACAGTGACAAGTACGGTGTTGGGTAAGAGCCTATTGTTGCCATCAATTGATAAAAGGTTATTAACATGGCCATCGGTGGATAAACGGTTAACAACATGGCCATCGGTGGATAAAAGGTTAACAACATGGCCATCGGTGGATAAACGGTTAACAACATGGCCATCGGTGGATAAAAGGTTAACAACATGGCCATCGGTGGATAAAAGGTGCTGTGCATCGGTGGATATGGAGTTAACATGGCCATCGGTGGATAAAAGGTTAACAATAACATGACCATCGGTGGATAAGAGAGTTAACTGCATATTGCATCGGTGGATAACAGATTCTTTCTTTGCCTGGCCATCGGTGGATAAGGTTAACAACATGGCCATCTGATGGATAAACAGTTAACAACATAATGTCGGTGGATAAAGGTTAACAACATGGCCATCGATTGGATAAAGGTTCTTATGGCCATCGGTGGATACTGGAGTTAACAACATATTGCATCGGTGGATAAGGTTAACAACATGGCATCGGTGGATAAAGGCGAACAACATATTGCATCGGTGGATAAAGTTAACAACATGGCCATCGATTGGATAAAAGAAGTTAACAACATAACCATCGGTGGATAAAAGGTTAACATGGCCCATCGGTGGATAAAGTTAACAACATGGCCCATCGGTGGATAAAGGTTAACAACATGGCCATCGGTGGTAAGGTTAACGCTGGCCATCGGTGGGTAGGCTAACAACATGGCCATCGGTGGATAAGAAGTTAACAACATAATGCATCGGTGGATAAAAAGTTAACAATATGGCCATCGTGGGATAAGAATTCAACAACATGGCCCATCGGTGGGTAAGGTTAACAACATATGGCCATCGGTGGGTAAAAGGCTAACAACATGGCCATCGGTGGATAAGGATTAACATATTGCATCGGTGGATAAAAGGTTAACAACATGGCCATCGGTGGGTAAAAGGTTAACAACATGGCCATCGGTGGGTAAAAGGTTAACATGGCCATCGGTAGATAAAAGGTTAACAACATGGCCATCGGTAGATAAAAGGTTAACAACATGGCCATCGGTGGATAAAAAGTTAACAACATGGCCGTTAATGGATGTATTAGTTAGCCTTTGCCTCTCTCCTCGTTTTCATAAGTTCTTCAATAAGATTTTTTACCTTCCATTGCCATCAACCTTGTATAGTCCCTCAGTTTATTTTACATATCTAACTCTCCTCTCTATTATCCTTCATATACACTAATTTTATCATATTTTATTATACATTTCTACGATTCTCCTGTTTCTCTTCTTTTGCGGTATTCTCTTTTATATATACGTATACGTCTATATGTCTATAACTAAACATTAACCCCTATTGGTTCTTCTCTTATTTTCCATCTAGTGTCGTTTATTCCTCTTTGATTTTGTTAAATTTCGTTGATTCCTTCTAACAATCTATTACCGTTTTTTTATTTTCTTATTTTCCCTTTATTTTTGTTTTCCTCTTTGTATCTCCCCAAATTTGTAGGGTTTTTATTTTTTTTCTAGATATTTCTTTACGCCCTCCTCCTCTTCTCTCCAACCTTGTCCTACTTGGCTCTTCCACAGTCAGGTAATGTCCTCTCCACAACTCTCACCCGTCTTCCTCCTCCTCGCTCTCTGTGTAAACAACTCCCCCTCTCTTCCTACTCTCTCCTTGTGTTTATAATTACCCATTAACCTTATAGATTGTTTGCTGTTTTGATGACGTCATAATTGAGGTGTTAGTATATATACCGGTAGCCACCAGTAACAACTACCAGTAG